GGATGGATGGATGAGTGGGTAGATGGATGGATGGATGGATGAGTGGGTAGATGGATGGATGGATGGATGGATGGATGGATGAGTGGGTGGATGGATGGATGGATGGATGGATGGATGGATGAGTGGGTAGATGGATGGATGAATAGATGGATATCTGGATAGATGGATGAATAAGTGGGTAGATGGATGGGTAGGTGGATGGATGGATGGATGGATGGATGGATGGATAGATAAGTGGGTAGGTGGATGGCCAGGTGAGTGGATGGATAGACAGGAGGATGGGTGGACTGATGAACAAACAACTTAGAACGTCTTACTCAAGGTGGAGGGGCCAGGGAGCAAGCAGCATGGACATCTCGTGCCCCATCACCGGCTGATGCAAGCCATGTCCTCAGCCTGGCTCTGACATTTCTCCACACCCCTCCCTAGGCACCTCCGGCCCTCCCCAAGCTTCGGGCCCCACTCCCGCTGCCAAAAGTGAAGACTGTGTCCTCAGTCCTGTGGGAAGTCAAAGCCAGCCCTCAGACCAGGGAGGGCCACCCAGAGTAAGCAGAGGAAGGGGCACCCAGCCAAGAGCTGGGGAATGAGTAGGGGGGCGCAGGGAATAGAAGGGAAACACTGAACCCCAAGAAATCAACCGCCTCCCCACAACTCTCTCCACTGCAGAAATTCCTGAAGGGAAAGGCTTTATTCCAAGCGGTCTAGCCTGGAGGCCAGGTGAGTCTCCCCTGTCTCTCCAGGTTGCCCCACCTGCCCCACCCATGGGACCTGTCGGGACCTGTCCTGAAGCCTCTAATCCACTTCTCTTCCCTCCTCCCAGGGTGCCTGGGTGTGCTGCTAAAGGGAGCCCTGGGGGCTGGAGTTTCGTGAAGTGGAAATAAACAGCCAAGCCCAGGTCTGCGTCCAAGTCTGTCTGTCTGGTGTCCGGAGCAGGAGTGTGGAGACCGCCAGGGGGCAGCTTGGCCCTGGGAATGGGGTGGGTGGTCCCTAGGAGTCCTAAGAAGCACCTGACCAACTTTCTCAGCTGGTGTGCTTCCAGCCCATTCGGATGCCCCCCACCCCGACTCGGACGCTGCAGGGCAGGGGAGAAGTGCGCCTGTGGGTTTCTGAGATGGGAACTTTGTACTTACGGGAGTCGAAGGTCTTATCTGGCGAGTGCCTTGTGCTTGGCAGCCCAACGTGGAACCCCCTGTGCCACCAAGGCTCCTGTGACCAACCCCTCAGAGAGGGTGAGTGGGAATCAGAGTCAAGCGTGGGGGGCCCAGCTCCTCTGGGCTCTAGAGCCCAAGCCCCCCAGTCTCCTCCTCCCTCAGACCTTCAAATAGAATCAGTCCCATGCCCAGCCTCCTCCGTCTGGTCCTCCCTTCTGCCCTCAGGATTGAGGAGTCCAGACACCACACACACACACACACACACACACACACCCCTTAGTCCATTCTGACTCTAGCAGCCCTACAGAACAGAGTGGAACTACCCCTGTGGGTTTTTGAGATAAGCTCTCCCCAAATCAGGTACGTATCTCTATCCCTGCTCTGCTCCTCAGGACAGACTCCTGGACTCAGACCCAGACTCTGGTCACCAAGAACACCCCCACGTCAGTCTCCTTGAGGATTATGTACCTTGCTCCCCTCCCACCCCCCACTATTATCATCCCTCTTTCCTCCATCCCCCATCCTCTCAGTAACAGGAACTCCCAGACTAAACCCAGCCAAGGAGGAAGTATCGTCCCTCCTCATCAGTAGTCATGGTGGCGTGAACAGGCAGTCTCTCTCATGTTAGTTTAAATCAGTCTGTATTTCCCCAAGTCTCTGCCCTGTGTCCAGGCTGGGAACCCAATGATGATCCCCCAAACCCCAGTCCTAACTATCCCAGGCCTCATCATCTAATAAGGGAGGCAGACATAGCCCCAAATAGTAACAGCTCCAAGTGGGATGAATGGAGATGGGGGGATCCTAGGAGCTGTGGCTGTCCTGAAGGGACAGCTAGCCTGGGCTGGGCAGTCAGGGAGGGCTTCCAGGAGGAGGGTACATCTGAGAGTTGAGAAGCGAGCACAGAAGCAGGTCTGTGAGATTTAGTTCCAGGCAGTAGAACCCATCACTGGGGCAGCAAGGGAATTCATTGAAAGGATTTTGGGTCACTCCCAGGATCCCTCCGGGGAGGGATTGGAAAACCAGGGGCAGAGAACCAGCAAGAGTCCTGGCAGCTCTCCAGTCACCATCGTCACAGAACCGGTCTGATGAGGACAGGCTGGTGCCCTGATGACCACTGGCCGCTGCACTCACCTCCATGGCTCTGTTGTCTGGGGAACAACAGGATGTGGCTGCTCTTCTCATTAGCTAGGGCCCCTGACAAATCACTTCAATGCCTTCAAAGCAGCAGCCTGTTGATGCTGCTCATGGTTTCTGTGGGCTCGGCTTCCAGGAAGGGCTCTGCTGGGTGGCTGTGGTCCGCACGGGCATCTCAGAGCTTCTCCATGTGGCCTCCGCTGTGGCTGCAGTGGGCTTCCCTACAGCGTGGCGGCCTCCGTGGGGTCAGACGGCTTCTGTAGGAAGGCATTTCGGAGACCATCTCAGCGAACAAAGGTTGTCAGGAGGTTTCAAGAAGCCCCTGGGGAGAATCTCAGGACCTTTTGATTGCCTGGTTGCATGAACTTTTGTAAGCCCTCGCCCCACTCGTGGTCTTCTCTGAGTTTATCTGGGAAGTGGCGACACACAGCGTCATCTCCGCCATGTCTTGTGATCACCCACGGATCACAACTGCACAGAATTAAGAGGAGGGGACTTGGGGAGTCCTGGTGGCACCGTGGTAAGGCACCCTGCTGCGAACCAGAGCTATAGTTTCAGCCAAAGTCCAGTGAGTCGAACCTGCCAGCTACACTGCGGAAGAAAGATAAGGCCTTCCGTGCCCATAGTGGTGACCAGCTTGGCAAGGCCCTGGGTCAGCTCTGCGCTGTCCCCTCGGGTCACTATGAGTTGGCATCAACGTGATGGCACTGGTTTGGTTGTGATTTTCAGTTCCACTAGAAAGAGCTGGAATCTCTCGGAATGTTCATTCCGCGATTGCGCATGCAACATGCGACACATTTGGTGTCAAGATGAGTTCACAGCTTGTGTCCTTTGGGACGCACGTGGAAGGGCTTTGGGGTTCGAACAGCCGACCTTTCCGATGGCGCTTTCGCACGGCGCCCCCAGCGCCCCCTTCTGTTCGAATCTCTTAAGTACAAATGGGTGTTGGGGCTATCTTAGAAAGGGCAATGGTGGTGTTACAAGGATGAGCAAGGCAGTCGGTGCCGCGGACTTGTAAGCATGGAAATTCACAGTAGTGCCAAATGTTCTGGTGTGTGTGTATTCCACCACGAGTCTTATAGATACCCGTGTATCTACTGGAGCCCTGGCGGTGTAGCGGTTACAAGTAAGGCTGCTGCCTGCCGCAGGCAGCCGCTCTCACTTTAGTCTAAATCAGTCGGCACTCCCCAAGTCTCTGCAAGAGCAGAAGTTCAAAACCACAAACCCCTCGGGACTTTCGACTCTCTGAAAGAGTTCCAGTCTCGGAAACCCCACAGGGGCAATTCTACCCTGTCCTCGGGGTTGTGGTGAGTCAGAATGGACTCGATGAGAGTGAGTTTGGATTTGGGTTTCGTGTGTGTATTTATTGTGGGCGTGCGGGTGTGCATGTGTGTGTACGGCTCATATATTCGTTTGTGTGCCAGACAAACGCTGGCCACCTAACAGTTCAGGGTTTGGTTTCTAACCCAAAGGTTGGGGGTTCTAACCCACCCAGAGGCTCCTCAGAGAAAGACTAAGTGATCTGCCCCGGTAGGGAGTGGTGACACCCTAGACAACCCTCTGGAGGCAGTTCTCTGTCGCACAGGTCCACGCAACCAATGCTGCCCTGACCCCAATGGCCAGGATGACCGGGCAAGGCTGGGATGGGCAGAAAGACCGAATTCGTCACATGCGTTCTTACTCCGCTATCCCATCCCCAGACCAGGCACAGGGTTAGGCTCTGGAGACTTAGGGCTGAGCAAAGCAGGCGGTCCCCTTCCTGTCCCGGCCTTTACCCAAGCCAGGAAAACAACACAATAACTAAATCACAAAACACAGTCCAGCTGGCAGAGAGAGATGCTGAGGAGGGTAAAGTGAAAGTCTGAGGTCTCTGGGGTGGGGGTGGCGGGGGTGGGATAGGAGGAGAAGCAGGTGAGGGGAGCTACCTACGTGACTCTGTTGGGGTGGGGATGGGGGTTGGTGCGCATCGCAGCTCCTACAAGGTGGCTGAGGCTGGACCATGGTGCCTGGAATTTGGAAGGGGAAGCTTGGAGAGTTGGGTGGCTCAGAGAAGAATTCTCCAGGAAAGCGAGGGCAGGGAGGAGGGAGATGGAGTCAGGGTGGGTACCGCAGGCTGATCCAGGAGCTGAGGCGAGAACGTTAGCCTTCTGCCTCTGGGTGAGGCAGCAGCCACAAGGGAGGTTTCTGAGCAGAATGATGTGGACTGACTGACTCACTCACTTGGCTCCCTGATGGACATAAATTGCAGGAGACAAGGACAGTGCTGGTCTCCGCAAGTCTGCGAGGGCCCTGAGCTGGGACTGAGGACTTCCAGTCTCCATTAACAATGAAAACCTCACTGCCATCGAATCAATTCCGACTCTTAGTGACGCTATAGGACAGAGTAGAACTGCCCCTGGGGGGGTTTCCAAGACTGTAAACCTTTATGGGAGTAGAAAGCCTCGTCTTTCTCCCCACGGAGCAGGCTGGTGGCTTTGACCTGCTGACTTTTCTGTTGGTTCGAATGCACTCCTCCAACGTCGCCAATGACATCACGGAAAGGCTCATCACTCCTCTCTGGTCTTCCATAGTGGTCACGAGGCTTTCACATGCAAACGAGGTGAGGGAAGGGACCATGGCTTGAGTCAGGACCACCTGAGTTCTCAAGGTGGGACGGTTCCTCCCTCTCCCCCACCCCCCCAACCTAAAGACGTCATGCTTGGTTAAGTAGAGGGTCAGAAAACACAAAGGGAGAAGACCTTTCATGAGATGGATGAACACAGTGGCTGCAACACTAGGCTCAGACAAAGCCACCATTGTGAGGATGGTGCAGGTCTGGGCAGGGTGCCCTTCTGTTGCTACGGGTGGGAGCAGCCAGGAAGGCACCTAACAGCACCTTCCGTGCGTTGCGTACCATGGAGGTCATTCTGGTAGGACAGAATCGTCCAAGAGGTGCGCAAGGCTCCGTCAGGTAAGGGTGGCTGTGAGAACTGACTCCGTGGCAATAAACTTGAGCAATCTTGACAGAAGGAGCCCTGGTCACTGTGGGGCACTAAACAAAAATCACTGTTTGTCAAACCCATCAGTCAGTCCTCAGGAGACAGACAAGACTAGCTGCCCCTAAAACCCAAGCCAAACCGAACTTGTGTCCACCAAATCGATGATGCCCCCTGGACTCATAGCGACGCTAGAGGTCAGGGTGGAACTGCCCCTGTGGGTTTCCAAGACTAACACTTTACCAGGGTTAGTCTCTTCTTTCTCCCCACCCCAGTAGCTGGTGGTTTTGAACTCCTGACCTTGCAGTTAGCAGCCCAATTCATAACCCCTACACCACCAAGACTCCTGTAAAGAGCTATGGTCTTGGAAATGCCCAGGGGCTGTTTTAACCTGTCCTATAGGGTCCCAGTGAGTCGGCGTTGACTCCTTGGTTTGAATTCCAGGGGACCAGATGGCCAGGGCTTTGTCCAGGGCTTTGTCCAGCAGATTTCAACCTGTCTGTGTCCCCAGGGCTCCTCCTCCCGTCCCCTACATTTCAGGTGTCTCGCCCACACCTAGAACTTCAGCAGGCTGGGTTCTTGAGGAAGGTGGAAGGGTGGCTGTCCTTCCAGACCAGGGCACAAGTGGGGACAGAGGACCTGGGGTGGCAGGAGTCCCGGTGGGAGTGAGGTTGTGCAGTGTGATCTGGCCCATGATGATCTCACTGAGGTGGGGCCTATGTGTACATCTTGGAGGCCTACTCTGAGCACCTGCTCTGTGTCCCCGGTTGGGTTGTGCTGGGGACACCCAAGTGACCTAAACCTCACACGCGCTCACCATCCGGAGCGAGAGAGAGGATGAGATCGCAGAGAGGCCAGGGCTGAGATGGGGGAATTCAGGGGGTGCTGCAGGGGCCTCGAAGGGGTGGCTGGCTCAGCCTGGGGCCCGTGGAGGGCTTCTTGGAGGAGGAGAGGGTAGGACCCATATGAAAAGGTCACCTTTCTCAGTATCACAAGGCACTGTGCTGGCGCAAAATGTTTAAGTGGCCAGCTGATTAAGTGGGAAAGGTTGGTAGCTCAAACCCACGCAAGCGCCTCTGGGAGAGAAAGAGCTGGCCATCTGCTGCCCAGGAGTCCAGCCTGGAAACACCTCTGGGGACAGTTCTCCTCTGTCCCTTGGGGTCCCTAGGAGTGTCCTCCATGTCACCTGACAACAGCCATGGTCCTCCAACACCTGACTTCCTGTAGAGCAATGGGCAAGGCTGACAATCACTCTAGCCATCGAAAGGGCCCCTTCCTGCCTGACATGACCCCCCTCTCTCTGTCAGAGGCTCCTCTTCCAGCATGACTGGCCACTCCCCATCTGACCAGGGCTAGCCTCTCCCAGGTTACCAACAAAGCCATCCCTGCCTGCCCCCGCCCCCCAAACTGTAGTGTGGGGGGGGGACGGACCGTTTTTTCTACTGTGACCTGAGTGGTGCCTCTAGGCCAGTCTGACCTGTGACCTCCAGTGTGATCTGTGACCCCCACCTTCTGCCTGGTGGCCCAGCCCCTTCCCCCCACAGGTGCACCGGCTCCCTCCCCTCCCCCACTCACCTGCTCCCGCCTTGCCTGCCTGCTTCCCCTCCCTTCTCAGAAGGAAGCCAGAGAGGAGGAAGGGGGGCGGTAGCATTCCTGGGATTCCCCGGAGATGGGGGCGGAAAGGGAGGGCCATACGGGGAGAACACGGGCACCCCCCTCATCACATCCCCCCACCCCTTCCCCTCCAACACGGAGGACTCGCCTGACCGGAACTGGGGTCGGGCGGCTCAGAGCTGAGAGTGCCGGCCTGTTCCAGACCACTGGTGGGGAGATCCGTCCTGCACACTGGCCTCACGAGAGGCCATGCTGGGAGCAGCCGTTCTGGGCCACTGGTCATGCTGGGAGCCAATGGGCAGTGGTCAGTCCCACCCAGGCCCTTGCTTAGCGCGGAGGTTCACAGCCTGTCCTGGGGGAGACTTAACTCAGGCCACCGGTCAGGCTAATTGGACAGCGTGAGTGAGCCCATGGGAGACGCTGAGCACTGCTAGGGTCGCTGGGAGGGTGGTGCAGGCTACTGGTGTATCGAGACCGGCTGGTTCAAATGGATAGGCCAGGTCGCTGGCCAGCGTGGGAAGCCCCTGCCATAAGGCCCTTGGCTAGCTCTAGCGCGGGGGGAATGAACGATGCATGCACTCAGGCCACTGGCCTGACCGGTCGCTTGAGCCACTGCCGCGGGTCCTGGTCAGTCAAGCCGGGACGCCGGGGCGGGGAGGGG